GATTAACTGCTAAAAACCAGCACAGCTTCAGGTGTAACCACCCAGATCTCTCATCCCAGACCTTACAAGCAGCAATTAGTGGAAGAATGACGAGAACCAAAAAAGAATGACAGGCAAAGCTACCTCCTTCCACTTAAAAAAAATCATCCCACTTGAACTATTATGTTGTAACAAACATTAATATGCAACCAAATGAGAAAGAGCTGGCATCATCGAGTTCCGCACCGGCAATAAAGACACCAGCAGAAATGAGCCAGGGTACTGGTTTCAGGATTCATCAACATAGACCAACCACTTGGGAGCTCTAAGCAGAAAGTGCATCATTTCCATCTAATAAACAATCAAAATACACACAAGTTATGCATAAAACCAGAAAAAAATCCCTATGGAAAGCAAAGATAGATGCCCCTTTGGTGGCATCTCTGGTGCTTTCCTTCTCCACCAACACAGGTGGAGTTCCTGGGGCAGCTACACCCAGACCCCCATGCTGCCCAACCAAGCTCAGAGGAGCCCCCCATGCTCTGCTGTCCCCCCACACCAGAAGAAGCCTCACAGGCCACCCCAGACTGGGTTTAGTAGTAGAAATCTGCATGGAACTGGAGTAAGCTGTACTGGTGCAAATCACAGCTCAGAGCAGCTTTGTCTGGCTCTGCTAGAGGCTGGCAGTGATACAGCCGTTCTGGTGGTGAGCAAGCAAAGCCTGAAATCACAGGAAATCCACAATGCAGTTGAAGTCCTTGCCTGAGACACTGCAAATGGCAAGCATTTTGCAAAGGCTGGGCCAGTAGACAGAGAAGACAGCTATGCAGCAGTAATGTGTGATGTGGTTTTCCTTGATTTATTTTTCATATAGATTTTTCACAGGACAGAAAAAGAACCTTCAAATTAACACATTTTCGTAAGGTGTGTTTGTTTTAAGAGAACCTTTCTTGAGAGAAATCCCCACCCTCCCTCCTTAAAAAAAAATATCGCTTGAGAAGAAAGGGAAACATCTCTGTGTGTCTCAGAGTAAACATTCCCTGCTGGGCTCCTGGCAGGCACTGAGCCCACCCGTTCAGAAAGAAATCAGATCCTGAAGCAAACTAGGTAAAGGAAAAAAAAAAAAAAAAAAAAAAGCAGCTGTCAGCTACCAGAAACTCAATGAAGTCTTAAAAGCTCATCCTATCAAGTCATCAAGGCCAACTCTAAGCAGATGTTTTGGGTCACTCCCCTACAAATATCACTAGGAAGAGGAACCGTCAATTACATGATGTACTACACCCGGCGTTAGCTTGCTGTCACCCTGGGTATAAAAAGAGCTGGTTTTCTTCCCCAGTGCACAGCCTTGGGCTACCATTCCTGTCCCAGCACTGGGATGTCCCCCTGCTCCTCACAACACATCAGCATCACCCCTCTGTGCCCCCCAAGCCAGCCCAGCAAACATCCAGACTCACCTGGGTCCCCCAGAAAATGCAAGAAGAAACAAGGAGGGGGAAAGCCCTGAGAAAGATGCCCCAAGCACAGCCTTCTGGATTTACATTTCACTTTCATACTGAAGAGCTGAGTACCCCAACTCCAGCCCCAGCCTCTCTAGGGCAGCGCTCAGCTGTTCCCAGGCACTTGGGCAATCAGGTCTTTGCCACTTGTCACTTCAGATGGATCAAACCCCAGAGGGAAGTGACCTGCTTTCAAGAAGAATAGATCACTCCTTGATTTCATGAGCATATCTGAAACAGCTGCAAGGGATTGGGCTCAACAGCATCAGCTGCACCGGGACCAATGCCGTGACCTCACAGGGGGCTCAAGGCTAAAGCAAGTCCTGGTGAGACAAGTCCTGTGTGATGGTTTATCTTCCTTACTGCCAAATCCATATTGTTTTCCAAGTTTATCCCTTGACAACACTGTCACAAGCCACTTTTGGGGACTACCTTCAGCTTTCCTTCCAGCCCCATCAAGTGCCTTCTGCTCAGCTCTGCTCCGATCGTACCCATGCTTCATTATTTCCCCTCTAGCAGTGACACTTGGGCTTCAGGTCCCACTAAGGAACCCATTAAGGAACTCTGCCCTCACTTAACCCAGAGCAACGACCCTCTGAGAGGCTCTGGAGAAGAAGCTGCACCTTCCTAGGGTGCCCCCAGCAGAGAACAAGGCATCGCTTGCTCTTTGTGGCTCCTGGGGCAACAGCACATCTCCGTGCTCTTACAGTGAGGGAGCAGTCTGGGGAGGGATTGTTTCCTGTAGCAGGGCAGCAAAGAGTAGAGAAAAACAACCTATTAACGATGAAATAGTTATTTTTTCAACGCCTACACAGATAAATTTGTGTTTTCTAAGGAGGCAGCCAGCCTCTGACACCCAGACCTGAATGTGGGTGGCTTTTGGAGGCTGTAAATCCCAGACTACAACCTTTGAGTTCCCAGAGTAACCATTCCAGGCAGGATGGCCCAAACACCTCGTGGCACCTTCTGTGTCCCCCATCAGGCACAGAAACCCACATCCTCATGGAGCCCATCCCACCCAGAGCACACCAGCATCTCGGGCTCACAGCTGGGATGCGGGAGTCCCCAAGTCTGGTTCCACCCCCCAGCAGAATTCCTGCTTTTCAAAATATGTTTGTAATTTAATGGCATTTTAACATAAAACAAATAAAATTAAATTAAAAAAAAAAAAAAAGCAAAAACAAATAAAATTAAATTAAAAAAAAAAAGCGCTTTGAAGGAAGCATAAGTCAGGCAAAAGCCTCAACAATTAGGCTGCAGCAAGAGGCTCCCTCCCTCCTGCAGAGACCCAGCCCAGGCGAGGGGGGAGCCCCCAGGCCCCTTTGCCTGGATTTCAAGCTGGAAAGAACAGATTTACTGGTTAGACAATTAAATTAATAGTCTAACTAGATAATTACAGAATAAAAGTGACTATGGCACCACACCAGCCACGCTCAGTCCCCCACAAAGAGGCAGGATGGCACGGACCCACCACTGAGCAAAGCCCCGACTCCCCAGGGACCCCCCAGCAGCCCCTTCCTGCGTCCCACGGCCAGGAGCTGCAGCAGAGGCCAATTCTCCCCCAGTTTTAACCTTTTCAGGCACTATTTGCAAAGCCAGCGAGGTCTTTTCTTGTGTTAAGAGTCCAGAGCCCAAGCAGAGCACCCTGCACCCATATTTAGGGTCCCAGCGAGCTGTTGATTGCCCTCCAGGAGCAGCCCTGGGAGCATCACCCCTCGCTCAGCGAGAGCAGCATTTACAAAGGATGTGATTTAAAAGGCTGCCACGCTGAGGAACACGAAATAACACCCCACGACTGCTGCTTGTGTCACAGCTCCTTGTGATCCACAGCAGGACTGGCCTGATGAGAAGGCTCCTCACACCTCCCAGGTTTGCCGAATCAAAGGAGGAGGAATTTGGCAAGCCACCTGCCTAGGCAAACGCAGACTTTGTTTTTTCTTGTTTAATGTTAAACCAAAACGCTTCTTTCAAAGTAACAGGAAAACACACTCCCTCCCGCTAAATTACAATGTTCCTTTTCACAACCGGAACATTTTTACAGTTGGCGAGAGGCGATTTTATGTTTTGTTGTGATACATCCCACATCACCGGGGGAGGAAAAGGACTTCCCCATGCCCACGAGACGCAGGCTGAGCCCCGAAAATCGAGTGCCTCCCCTCACAGCACAGACACCCTGACTCTGTGTGCACCCCGGCACGGCCAGCCCCCCCGGCTGCTGCTCCCTCCACTGTCCCAGCCCTTCCCGGGCTGGGATTCCCCTCCTCTCCATCCATCTCCTCCTGCTGCTCCTCCAAAACAGCCCTGGCTGGAACACTTGGTGAGGGACAGTCCAAACTGAAAACACAGACACAAAGCTGTATAACAGGCGCATTTGAACTCAAACACAAACCAAGTCTCCTCAAAACACCCTCTCTTCCATAATTATTTCTTTAAAACTCAGTGTTTTCCCTTTTCTATCACAGCTTTGGCAGATGAATGGAAAGACGGCCAACAGCTTGTGCGCGTTACGACAATATTTTTAAGTTATAGTTCCTTTCAAAGCCTTTCAATAGTCGCAGTGTTTGCTCAGGCGCCCCAGCAGCTGCCCAGGAGAGCCTGGAAATCACACACAGCCCCAGCGAGGCCGGGCAGCTCCGGGTGTCCGGCCCCTTCCCAGGACAGCCCAGCGGCCATGGAAACACCGGTGCCCGCAGGAACGTGCCCAGCTGGGGCACAGCACCTCATCCATCAGCCCACCTCCCTGAATTTTCACTGAATTTTTAAAGTTGGAAGGGACCATAGAGATCATCTAGTCCAACTCCCCCGCTGAACCTCGCCACGCTCCTTCCTTGCACGGGGGATAGTTAGTTTTCACATCTATCTTACACACAAAGCCCATTTCAAGCTTTCCGCGGTGTCTTCACAAAGAAATTTCCAGAATACATCTTGGTGAGGCTAAACACAAGTGTGAGTGCACTTCCACAGTAATTACTACCAGCCCACAGGGACCCCAGAACACAGCAGCCTGCGCGGGGAAAACTTCTTGCTGACTTTACTCCTGCCTTCCTAAAAAAAAAAAAGAATAAAAAAAGAAAAAACCCACCCCAAGAGCCTGTGAACTCGGTCCAGGGCACGAGTCCAAGCCCTCTGTAGTGCTGAGCACTAGAAACTTTGAAAGCGGATCTTTATGAATTACCATGCGAAATAAAATATAGAATACAGCGCGGAGAAGGCTATCTGCTCTGCGAACTCGGTCCAGGGCACGAGTCCAAGCCCTCTGTAGTGCTGAGCACTAGAAACTTTGAAAGCGGATCTTTATGAATTACCATGCAAAATAAAATATAGAATACAGCACGGAGAAGGCTATCTGCTCTGCTGAGACTGTCAGAGGGGGGGGAAAAAAAAACCTTACTTGCGTGTATTTATGTGTATATGTAATAAGAGATAATTAAAAAGACCCCAAAGGCTGCTCCCCGCCCGTCCCGGGTACCAGCCGACCCACCCCGCTCCCGTCCCCGCTCCGGTCCCCCCCGCACCAAGGCTCACCCTGGAGATGGTCAGAGGGGCGCTGAAGTCTTTCCCGCCCACCAGGCGAAACCCCCACGGCGAAGGGCCACGCAGGACCACCGAGCGGGACATAGCGAGGCCGGTGGGGAAGCTCCCTGCCCGCTGCAGCTCCGGCTCCCACTCCGTTCGCCGAGGGTTTCGTTAAAGCGCTGGAGGACTTGCACAAGCAGAACCAGCTGGGCGGCGGCGGAGCGGCGGGGGGGGGCGGGGGGGGGGGATCGCCCCGTCCCGGTCGTCTCTGGGGGGGAGCTTTATCAAGGATTTACCCCCAGACGTTTTTCCCGGTGGGTTTCGGAGCACCGCGAAACCACCGATTCGCAGTCGGAAAAATATGCGTTTGGTGCGCCTTCATCCTCCGGAGTGGAGGGAAAATGATGTAATAGGTCAGTAAATGTGTGGCTGCAACTATTTTGTTCATCACGAGTGGTATGTCGAAGGAGGAAAGAGAAGATTTTTTGAGAAAATAGGCAGGTTGGGTTTAAGGCAGTTTGGGAATCCTTCATGCTTGTCCCTTGGACAAAAGAGAAGCTTCCAACAAAATAGGTTGGGTTTAAAACAGTTTGGGAATCCTTCATGCTTGTCCCTTGGCCAAAAGAGAAGCTTCCAACAAAATAGGTTGGGTTTAAAACAGTTTGAGAATCCTTCAGGGTTGTCCCCCAGCCAAAATAGAAGCTTCCAACAAAATAGGTGTGTGTTTAAAGCCTTTTGGGAATCCTTCATGGTTATTTCTTGGCCCAAAGTGAAATTTCCAAGAAAATAGTCTGCTTGGGTTTAAAGCAGTTTGGGGATTCTGCATGGTTATCCCTTGGCCAAAAGAGAAGCTTCCAAGAAAATGGTCAGGTTGGGTTTAAAACAGTTTGGGAATCCTTCATGGTTATCATCTGGGCAAAAGAGAACTGCCAAAAAAATAGCAAAACAGTTTGGGAATCCTTCATGGTTATCACCTGGCCAAAAGAGAAACTGCCAAAAAAATAGTCAGATTAGTTTTAAAACAGCCTTGAGTAAAGGACACTGAGGCACGACCTCACCACCGTGTTCCAGTATTTAAAGAGAAGATGAAGACTCCCATTTTAGAAGGGGTCACATGGCAAGGACGAGGGGTAATGGGTGCAAGTCCCATTTTAGAAGGGGTCACATGGCAAGGATGAGGGGTAATGGGTGCAAGTTCCGACTGGACACAAGAGGAAAATTTTTCATGGTGAGAACAATCAGCCATTGGAATAATCTCCCCAGGGATGTGGTGGATTCCCCATCACTGGACAATTTTAAGATTCAGCTGGACAGGGTGCCAGGCCATCTTGTCCAGACCGTGCTTTTACCAAGCGAGATTGGCCATCTTGTCCAGACCGTGCTTTTGCCAAGGGAGATTGGACCAGAGGTTCCAGACCGTGCTTTTACCAAGCGAGATTGGACCAGAGGATCCTTGAGGTCCCTTCCAAGCTGGTATTCCATGATGCTCCCTTGAGGTCCCTTCCAACCTGGTATTCCATCATGCTGTGATTCAGTTTGGGAATGACTTGGCCAACGCATCACTGTGTGTTTGCAGAGGTCTCAGGGGCAGCACCAGGCACCGCAGAGCATCCCTGCTTCCTGCAAATTGGTGATGGTTGGAGCACCCAGATGATGTCCATGCTGCAGAGGGTGTTTAATGTGATGGCTTTCAGGCACGTGGCAGTAGCTGGGAGGTGGGATGGGTGGGCAGCAGAGCTGCTCAGCGCCTCCCCCAAAAGCTGAGAGCAAACCTCAAATCGCCTGCAAATCTCCCTCTCTCTCTTCCTGGAAGGGCTGGGCTGGAATATCCCACTTCAACAAAAGGACCTAACAAAGGATTCATTGTTTGAAAGGTCCAGTTTCACCAAGTGCCTTCATGTTTTTCTGTGAGTTTGATGTATGTGCTATTTGCTGTGTGTGCTTTTTCACACGCGCCCGCTCGTGACGCTGAGACCTTCAAACACCCTCCCACAGCCTTGTGCTTTAGGAACATCAACACAGCGAGCGCGGCGTGTCACGGACCCAAAACACCTCTGTTTGGCTTTGCTGGAGAGGTGCCTGCAGAGCAGCAGCGCGGCCGGTACCAGCAGAGCTTTCACCCAAACTCTTTGTTCCACAAAAGAGCCTCCACGGAGGGCGGCTCTAAAAGCTGACTTTTGTCTGTGCGACGGGGGATGAATCATACCTCCTCATTCCTGCATGATATCACCCGGCCTGCAGAAGCCTGGGAGGAGGCTGGCCTGAGGTTTCCTCGGTTGCGTTCGAAAATCCACCCAGCCGAACGCCAAAACTCTGCCCTGCTGGAGGGGTAGTTTATGTCCCCCCTTCCCTGCGCTGGCTGCTCCTGAGGAGGAGCCGTTTCCTGAAGGAACTGAGTGAAATACGTGCACAAATGCGCTGTGGCGGCACCGGCACCTCCTCCCTCTCAGGAGGGAAAATTAAAAAATCCCCTCCGTAAAAGAAACTAAGTTTGCTGGAAAGGAGCGGCAATAAGAGCCGAGAAAAGGGAAAGAGCAGAGGGAAAAAAGAAAAAAGGAGACTGCAGATCTGAGGAGTCAAACATTTTCTGCAGGCATTCATCAGGGCTTCGTTACCAGGGTGGTTTCTAAATTGCACTGGGGCTGTGAGAGACAGGCTCTGCCGCCCAGCAAACCGCCGGGGGGTTCAAAGTCATTCCCTGGCATAGGAAATAGCTGATCGAAACACAGAAATCCCCCACTCTTAAAGTATTCATTTCGAAAGCTGCTGGGAAAGCTGCTGCCTCCCGGGCTCTCTCTCTTCAAGGCCTTTTGAATGCTCAGCCCAGGTCTCCCTCACGTAACTCAGGGCTTGTCAAAACCTTGAAAAGTAAAATACAATTAGAAGTAGCCACGTTGGTATAAACTTGTAGGTGTGGTTTTTTCCAAATGAGACTATATTCCAAAATACACTGAACTGAGGCAGTTTTATTCCCAGTACAAATGTCTGCAGCAGAATTTCTCCTGATGGAAAGTGTTCACATGTAGAGCACCCTTCAGATTTCAGAAGTCCATCAGGAATTAGTTTGGCACCCCTCTATCAGCGATAGATGATTGTTCCCCAGGATTTGGGGAATGAGACCATTAGCTACAGAACTCCACATTTCACAGGTGCCTTGGTTCCCTTCGGGTCCTCACACCTTTTCACATGTGCTTTTTCTTTGAGCGAAGCCAATACAATTTTGCAGCCTCCAAAGGCCCCAGTGATACCCTCACTTCAACCAAAGCGGGCTCATAAATTTCTATTTCTGTCTTCGATAACTTGAGAATTCTTAGATTATATTTTAAGTCATTTCCAAAAACTAATTGGAGTCCTCCTTCTGGAACACAACCCAACACGACCAACAGAAGATGACACGACCCTTGCTGTGGGAGCAAGCCTTAACTCCCAGCTAAAATACAGCATCTCCAACGTGTTCCTTCTGCTGCCAAGTGCTGAAACCCTATAGCGAGCTCGAACAAAGACCACACATTATTCAAAGGAGAGGTCAAACGTGTTCATGAATTCCATCTCATCACCCCATCCCCTTTATCTTCCTCCCCCCCCCCCATATTTTCCTCGGTGTTTGTTTCCAGTACTTTTCCACCCCGAAGTCTTATCACCTCTTTGTTTCTGTTTTGAATATTCCATTCTGGCTCTCCTTCGCCACTGGTGACACTCTGGGTTTCCTTCCTTTGTTATCACAGACCGACTGGGTAAACTACGGATATTCAGCTTTGTGTCCCGCTTCGAGTAAGTGTTCAGGTTTTCCATTTGCCCCCCCACTCCCCCAATGTCTAGTAGAGGTCCTGTGCTTATCTGGGGGGGCCTGATATTGACCCTCAAAAGGCTATTTTTGAACATCTGCCCACATGAGAGTGATTTCAAGCATCGTTATGGCTTCATAGTTCTTCTCCAGGTCAGGAGATTTTCTTGCTCTACAAATTGCCGCCTCCTGAACTATGGCTGCTTCTCCTTAGAGCGCTTTCAGGAGGTGGAAGTTATCCCTGAGTCCTCTGTAGCAGCACAGTGGGTGTAGTGGAAGTAGAAATGAGATCCTCTGATGTTTTCACATCAGTTTAAAGGTGGTAAATTGAGGTATGGATTGTTATGAACAATTTATTCAGTACTTTCCTTCTTATTAGAAGTTAGTCATTCATAAATTGCTTGATAGACACAATTTGATGATCAGTCAGTGATAAATCACTGTCTTCTTTTCACTGCCCCCCAGGCCCTTCATAAAATATTTCTTTTTTAGACTGTGAAAAAAAACCTGATAATACCTTTTAAGTTCAACAAATGACTACATTTGTCAGAGAGATCTGCCAAAGGCTTGCTAAGATAAAGCTTCTATGTTTTTCAGAGTTTAAGGTGGAATTCAGCCACTCTACAGACGGATGTTTCTTTGATGTGGGGCCTCAAAACCTCTCCTTGTACAACCACGATTGCCAGAGCAAGGACATCTCTCCTGGTTGGGTACAGCTCAGCCTTGCAGGATGCTCAGCATATCATCCAACACTTTCTGTTCCACTCCTGGTGGGAAGATCTTGGGTTTTGAAGCGGCTTCATAATGTTCATGTGGTGCTTGTGACACCCTGAAACCAGCAGCATCCTCTTGTACAGTCACCCAAATGTTTGTGGAGTCCACAGTTTAGCTACATCTCCATTTCTGGCTGGAATATGTTACGTGTCATTGCACGATTAACTATTCAACAAGGATATATGTCCTGTAGCTGGGAATATGCTGGGAATGACAGTTTTCACTCATCCATCAGTTGTGCCTAATTTGCCTTCTAGAAAGGGCACATTTAGGAACACTAATCCAGTGCCTTGATGGAACAGCATCTGAAGAAGATGAAGTCAGGCATTTTTTGGCTGAAGACACAGATTAAAAGGCCATCTGAAGTGTGGGAAGGTGATTATTTGGTACAAGTACAAATGATGAAACGGCAAAAAGTTTTAATAAGGGTTCATTCAGCAGGTCCATACTTCACACAGAAAGCTAGTGAGAAAAGTATTTGAAACGGCAAAAAGTTTTAATAAGGGTTCACACAGAAAGCTAGTGAGAAAAGTATAAACTGAACCTCTGAACCTCACATGCCTTTGGATGTAATATATGCCTAAGTGAGT